TGTTACGACCGCGACCATCCAGGAGCAACAACACCGCAGTGATAGCCGGTTAGCAGTAGCGGGTAGCATTAAGCCTAGCTCCTTAGCATGAGCTAACCAGGTAAGGATAAACTCTGTGGGCGTGGCTCGGTTGTCAGTCTTCACTCGGCCCGCCTAGYGTCCACTCRCGCGCCGCCTTTTTGCCCATTTATGGGTTAGCCCGGAACTAGGAGGAGTCAGGCCCCGGCAAGATGGCGCCGGGTGAAACGCCCACTACGAGCCTCATTTTCACTCTACAGAAACCAACGGGTGACRTCACGGACACTACGTCCATCTTTATATACAGTCTATGGTCCTGTCGTGGCGAATGAACGGCTCGACCCGGCGGAGCAGGTCGTCGAACCGATGCGCAGACATCCCAAAATAGCTGAAGTGCATCCCCTCGTCCAGCGTCCTCATGGGTTTCACCAGGACGCTGAATTCTCCCAGGACACTCCTGTCCTCGTTGGGAGGACGAACTGACCACCGTCTCTTCCGTCGCCTTTTAGCCAGCAAGCTGAGGATTAAGAGTTCCTCCTCCTCGAACATCTGCAAGATCATCTGAGCCGCCGCCATTCAGTTTGTTTTCTTCTTCTCTGGACGAGGCTGCCGCATTATTTTTTTAACATTACCGCCCCCAGCTGGTGAAGTGTGGATCAGGCTGTCATATTTATATTATCTATTCAAGGCGCTTTAATGTCCTCTACCGTTTGTTATTAAAGTTCTTATTAAAATTCTGATCACATTTTTTTTACATAGGCAAGGCAATTTCATTAACAGAGCACATGTCATGCACGGAGGTAGATTCAAGATGCTGTACAGGAACATTAAAACCAACACAGAGACAGAATTATAAGACAAAAATGTAAATCTGAAAGCACAGTAATCAAAAATTAAAAAGTGTACAATAAAAGAGATAAAAGAAATAAAAATGATAAATCTGTATCAACATTTAAAAATAAGTTGAAAGGGAAAAATACAAATTTAACAAAATATGATGATGACTTGTGAATAAAAACCTTTCTACCGGGTAGATATAGAGACTGTGGAATTAATATTCTACTTAAATGAAATTTATTGTGAGCCAGTTATGAATGCCATAATAAAAAATATGAATCCCCCCCCCCCCTCTCTGTTGACGGACGGTTTCTCAGTGGCGACACCTATCGTTCAGGAGAAAACTGCCGTGAGTCGCCATATCATCGCGGTGGGGGACAGGACAGACTCTCGCAGCCTCGGTCTGACTCATTTACCCGCCGTCATGTTCCCAGGGATGCGGGTGGAGGAGCAGGAGGACGCCGCGGCTCTGAGGCAGCAGAGGAGACTGAAACAGGCGATCAGGTTCCTGCATAAAGACTCTGCTGATCTGCTGCCTCTGGATGGACTCAAGATGCTCGGCACTTCTAAACAAGGGGTGAGCCCCACCTGACAGGCCTTCTAACACACTTATCACATCCATCATATTAGGACTTGTTCACCGTTTAAACTGGCTGAGCCTCTACCTTTATTTTAGATACCTCTTTTATCAATATTATACAAATCCAATTTATTATTAGTCAAAATCATCACCCAGTATTTATTTCTAATTTCTAATTGTCATTCAGAATGTATTTACACCTATAATATGACACAGACATTGTTTTCTTGAAGCTTCTTCTGAATGCAAATGTTCTCATTCAACATTATTCGTTTCATTGTCATCATGAACATGTTTCACATAACATTTTCCTGTCCAACCAAACCCCCCCCCTTTCACAGTAACACAAAAGGTGCCTGTCTGGTGTGAAGCAGGTGAACATTGGACGCATGAAGAACATGGGATGTTTGAAGAACATGTTACACTTGCAGCATCTGCTCGTCACAATGCCCTCACATCCTGACATTTCACAGCTCCCCTCCTCATTTGATTGCAAGGGGCAGTGGTATATTTCAACAGCCAAACAAACCTCAACGACTGTGAAAATGTGATACTGCATGTGTCCATGTCTCTTAATCTGACATTTACATTTTACTGACACCCTTGAACTCAAACCTATAAGTAACTTTGTACAACTTCTTGTTGAAGTATGTAAGTAACATTTACCCTCATTTTAGTTTATCTGCATGTTCTCAGGACACTGAAGAAGCTCAGAAGTTCATCAGGCAATGACCTTATACAGTATTTACTGCAGCTCCACAGAAATGAAATGAGAACTCGGCCCATTTTCTAACCGAGCTCCTATTGTTTTTTATTTTGACTGCAGCAGCCGCACCATATTCTGCAGAAGCGCATGCTGGAGGCCAAGCTTTCCCGGGAAAGGATTAACTTGTGCGAAGTGACGGTGAACAACGGGGGGGTCCTCCTGAGCTGCAGTCCTTTAAATTCACGTGAAGACGAGGAAGAAGAGAGGGAATATTTGATTTATGTGCAATGTAAGGTGAGTGGAAGATGGCCAGTTGGTAACGGTGCATATAATTTGTAGATAAAAAAAAAGATACAGTATTACAGTTGCTTCATGAAGTTAAGTCATTTGCATCCTTCATACAACCATTTCCACCTTGACCTCCTTTGTGTGTCTGCAGTGCGTAGGACAGGAGGTGAATGTGCTGATCGACACGGGCTGCAAACTGAACCTGATGTCCTCTCTGACTGTGGAGACGTTAGGGTGAGAGGATTCAGAGCACGCACTCTCAGCATCTTACCGTTTGTCTGACATTAGTTCATTTTCAATATCCAGAGGGTAATGCTTTTGTTTCTCTCAAAGTTTGAAAGAGCTGGTGGAGGAGAACAAAGTGGAGATGGATGGGTTTCCATTTCAGAGTAAACTCTACATCGACGGCCACATCAAGGGGCTCAGTCTGACCATCGGACAACTCAGGATAATGTGCTCATTTGCCATACTTGGTAAGGAAGAGAAATACGAGTGATTCAGGAGTAGAAATGACTCACTGAGACTGTAACCACTCTGATATTATTGTCCAACAATATGTATTTGCAGAAAGTGACAGGCCCCTGATGTCGCTGGGAAACAAAACCCTTAAGTCACTGAAGGTAAATCATTTCCTTCACCTCGACTTCATCTTCAGAAACATATAAACACTGTAGATATGATAAGAACTAACTGACTTTGCTCATGCAATGTGTTATCTTTTAAAAGTGTGTTATTGACACTGAAAAGCAGATGTTGGTGTTTGGGACAGCTGTGAGGGAGCAAGTTCCATTTGCTAAAAAGCCATTCAGAGAAAGGTAACATGATCATTTCATCTCCTTTAATTCATTGTCACTGTCTGAGTACATGTCCTCTTTTACAAACACATTTCATTTAGAAAAATGAGAATCAAGTTACTGTCATTGCAAACAAACTGCATATTGTTGCAAAAAGCTCATCCTAAATGCAGTTTGGGAAACTGTTGCATGTTTCATGCTTTATTTTGTTCTTGGACATAACAGACAAACGAGCAGAAATAAAATAACAAAACATCACAAAATATATTAAACTCAGCAGATTATAAACTAAGGCTCAAGTACTAAGGCTGAAGTAATTAAATATTTTAATTACTACTTAAGTATCTTTCTTATACCTGTAATTCTCTTTAAGCCGTAGTAGTACAAAATAGTTGTACTACACCATTTATTTGGTATCTGCAGATACTTGTACTTACTAGTTACTTTGCAAATGAAAATTTTCAAAACCTATAATGAGCATTGAAATGTAAAGTAGTTACTGAAAAATTGGCTCCATTTTAAAATAGCCATAATATTATAAAGCAGCTTGCATGCAACTGAATTAATAATAACCATAAACATATATTGTTTGTTATTACTTATAATAATATCACAAAGACAGAGCCCATTTTGGCTGCATAGTGAGTCATTTTACTTGCTACATTTTTACTTAATGATAACTTGAACATGTGTTATTAACTTCATTTAAATTACAGATACTTATTCCTGCTCTGCTTAAAACTGAATGCATTGTTGGTAATACAAGTCTTTTTAAAAGAAAACTGTGGTCTAATCAGCATGTGTAACATATATAGACACTAAAACTATGTACACAAATCTTAATTTAAACAGGTCGTTTCTGCTTCTTCCTCTCTTTGTGCAGCAGCTCCTCTGACTTCGGAGACCTGGGATACTGATCTTCTCACCACCAACACACAAAGTGACCAAAAGCAATAGAAATATTATCTACTCTTCTAACTAGATCGATCATTGGGCAAAATTCTGATTTCTCACCTTACACATTCTTACTTTCTCTCTGCCCTTTTCCTCAATGCACTCATGGGTCACTGGTGACGTCACGTTAACATCAAGACATCGGTTAACACAGCAAGTTCCTCGTGTAGCACCGACAATAAATAGCATCCCTGTAGCATATTATATTATTTACTGTTGTCACTGCAGTAGAAGTTGTAGTGCTGTAAACATTATAGCTATAGGTTGTGATAGAAGTGTGATCTAAAACTCTTAATAATAATAGTAATACTACATTTTATTTCATGGCATCTTTCTAATCACCCGATGAAACCTGACATTACATCATACATATTGTACTCTACATTATATTTATATCTGAAATCAATCTCGTTGCTGATAAGCTTTGCACAATGTACCACACACAGACCTACTGTTTATCTACTGTATTTTATAATGTTGTTAATGTGTTTTCTAGTCTGAGACATGTATTTGCATCGAGGTCACTGCCTGAAAGTGACTCTTGTGACTTGTTTTAACACGTGACTGTAGCAAAGTACATAAAATGAAATCCCAAATGATGTGATGTGAATGTTTTTCCTTATGTGCCTTTGCATACTTTGCCCCAAAGAAGATTCAGCAGCTAACACTACATAAGACACAATATAATACATCTCTCTTTAATAACTTCTCCCTGTGCTTTTTTATCTGAGGAGCACTTATAAAACTGGGCCAGCTAAAAGTAGCGTGACATAATTAGAGCTGTTAATGAGAGGTAACACTGAAGAGGGTTACTGTTACATAACAACTGCGTCGTCACAGTAGTGTTTGGTAACGCACTCTGGTTGGCTGGTTGGCAGGTGAACAGCCCCCCCAGTGGCCATGATTCTGAACACTTCTCCATGGAAACCAGCATCAACAGTGAGGCCAAGTTGACGCCTGCAGCTGACTGTGCACACCACTTTAAAGTGTAGGTAAACTTAACTTAGATTAAATAACCAGGAAAGATTTGTGTATTTAGCTGCTTACTTTACTGTTGTGCTATTTGTGCTGACAGAACATTAACAGTTTCCTGTTTTAAACTTGTGTTTATGTCTGGACTTTGTTTCAGTGATGGGATGAAACTGAGAGAATTTACTCAAGTACTATACTAAAGTACAGTTCTGAGCTACATGTACCTCACTCAAGTATTTCAAATTTCAATTACTTTATATTATTCCACTTTATTTCAGAGGTAAATATTGTAATTCTTTTTATGTATCTTATAAACAGAGTAATGTTAGAAAACATAATGAGTGCATGAATAGGATGTATTATTATACACACGGATGTGTCACTCATTTTGCATTCATGCGGAAATTATGAGCATATCTAATTATGTTTTCAGTAAAATATTTAAGTAAAACTTGGATCCAAGTCCTTTTTCTTGTGAGTATTTCTACACTGTAGCATTGCTATTTTACTTAAGTAAAATATCTGAGTACCACCCACAAAATACAAAAGAAATTGAAAAATTAACTTTAACCACAGAGAGATTAAGAAAAAAAAATGTAATGTTTAATACAACTATAGCGAGTTACATATCTTTTTTTAAGAATTTAGAAAATCTAGTCTTAATTTCACATGTTTGTTCAAGGAAGTGGATCTGTAAAATTCCAGATCATGTTATAATTGTGTGTGAATGCCAGATATCACATTCAGATTAACATATAAATTAATATGATGTTATCATTGCTCACATGATACAATCATCCACTGTATTTGTAGCACTCGATGTTATGACTTTATTTGAAACCACTGAAAATCAAGTAAATGTCATTATCCTTCAGGTCTTTCAGTGTTAGAATGACATCCAGGCAGATGGGGGCGTCTGAAGATGCATTGATCCCACTGTTTGTCGGCAAAGAAGGCTGCAACATCACTTTTGTCCTGGAGAGCTCAGAGAGCATGAGAGCTGTTCTGGGGTCAGTAAAACGACTGCTGATCCAGACCCTGCTGACTAAAGCTTCACTCAGAGACTCTCTCTTCAACATCATAACATTCTCAAACAAGGTGAGGGAGGCATCAATGTTCATTACAACGCATAATACAAAAGTATCAGAGGAAAGAAAAACATACTGACAAATAATTTATTGCTGCGGGCTGAAATCTCACTTGTTAGCAGAAAGGATGGTTATTAAATAAAAACAATGAATTGCTTCTGTTTCATGAGTTTAAGGAAGTTTGTCATTGTGGCCTGAGGTTGTCATGAGACAAATGTAGATTTAGTCACATTTGTCAACCTAAAGCTTTGGATTCATTCTCTCCCACAAAATGTTGGATATCCAACCCTTTACATGGACCAGAGCGGTCATTATTTTGTTAGAGGCAGGTAATCTCAAGTGTTCCGACAGGTACGTTTTAGGTCCACGTCCTTAACAAGTTATCATGTGCTCATGATTGACACTAAATCTAGTATTTGAACATAGTAACAGTGTTTAAAATCATCAGGGATCGTCCTCTGGAAACCATGAATATTCTGAGTTCAGAGGCTGTGATGTGAAGGACTGACTGAATGATTTAATCCAAATAACATGATTTTAAAAAAACAACAACTGTAATTCAAAGTTGGCAGTTTCCTACTTACTGAGAGGATATTTAATTTGGAAAATCTTTTAGAAGCCCCTTTACCTCAGGACTGATTTTCTCTTACCCACTTTGCAGGTGAACTGCTGGTCCCACCACATGCTCCCCTGTGCTCCTGACACAGTGTACACCGCTCTGTCCTGGATTCACTCCATCGTGTGCGGCCCCGGCAGAGATCTCCTGGCCGCCCTGAGTTTGGCCTTCTCTGACCCGACCTGTCACGCTGTCCACCTGCTCGCCACGGACCTCCCTGACCAGCCGGAGGCCGTGCTGAGAGCTCTACCCGCCCTGGCAGCTGAGAGGCCTGTGAACACTTTCTATCTGCAGGAGTCATACGGTCAGCTGGACGGCAACACAAGAGATTATCTACAGTGTCTGACTCAGGCCGCAGGAGGAAGCTGTTATGTGATAGTAGACGGTGCGAATGGGAATCTGGGGAAGGTATGACAGAATGGGTGCTGGCTGGTATGTGGTGGATTAAAGAAGAAACACAACTTCTTTTCACTTTAACTTGTCCCTCTCATGTACCTGAAGCTGCCGGGGGATCGATATCTTTGTGCTGTTACAGAGGATCATGACTAGATTTAACATCAGTTGGCCAGGGAGGGTGCTACACTTTTTTACATTACATGTCATTTAGCTGATGCTTTTATCCAAAGTGCATTCAACAACTATGAGGGTCCATTTTTGGGGTTCAGCCTCTTGCCCAAGGAAGCCCCCCCAAATGTTTTTAGATGAATCCCTGCATGAGCTATTTTTAGGAGGATTTTCATGTGGTGGTTGTTTTGACTTCATTTAAAATAGCAGAGTTCAATCTACCTGAGGTCTTTTTGAAAATTGCACCAAGATCATTACGTCTACAAAGCATCAACATGGCAAGCAAAAACTAGAAGCAGAAGAACTTAACTATTAAAGATGAAACTGAATCAATACTTGGATCAAGAGAGCTAACAGTAGTTACAGGTATAACAACATGTATTTGAAAATCTTTTCTAAAGGGTGATGTTTGTTGCAATGATTGAGTTCAATTTACAGAACTGACTTTGCATCCAGTTGTAAAATGTCCCTATGTCGTATTGGAGCAAGGAATAATGACCTGTACAGTGCATTGATTATTATAACCTATGCCTTTATAATCTACTCAATTACTTTACTATTCAGACGGCTACAGTTAACAGTCTACACTGACAGTGACTGGATCCTAAAACACCATACCTCACAGTCATGGTGGAAACATTTATCAGCAAACACAAAATCAAAAACACACAAACATAAAAACCACATGAAGCAAGTCACAGAAACAACAACAATAACAGCTACATTTAACTATTTCACTTCACACTTTGCACGCATGCTGTCTCATCAGAGCGATAAGCTCACCGATCACTCAATACGTTACACCTACAATCTAAACCAGTTTCAGTGTGAGATAAACAAAGTATAGATTATAAGACTCAGTGACAATGTTCACATATAACGTGACTGTTTCTCTATGGCTGCCATCAGGTGATTCCTCTGTATGTTGCTGAGAGAAAGTCGTCAGTGCCAATTGTCTCTCCAGTCAAGTGTTGCTGTCTGTCCGCTTCCACAATGATCCCACAGCAGCAGCACATGTCTCCTCTGCTCAGGTCAGTTTCCATGGTTAACTACTTATTCATTTGAAAGGATGATCTGTCAGATCATCAGGTGTCAGGTATCATACATATAGTTTGTGCTTTGGGTACAATCATCAGCACAGTGACACATGCACTGGACATGTGTAACATTTCAGCTGTACCCTTGCCTCTCAGGTCCAGTCTGGATAATCCGACCCGCCTGGTCCCCTCCTGTGTGCTGTCTGACCGAACCCTGGCCCATTCAGAGTTTTTCCCTGGATCCTGTGTGCTGGCCAGGAGAGAGGTGGATGGCTTGTATTATCAGGGTACTGTCATACAACAAGTTCAGGTGAGACAATGTTCTGATTGTGTGTCTTTCTGTTTGTGTGTGTGTGGAGGTAGGGAATGTGATAAAGGCTCCTGAATGCATCATATCAATGAGTTTGCACAGTGATCGTTAAAAAGAACATGGGTGTCTTTCTGTGTGTGTGGAAACATTTGTTTTTAACACAGACTGTAAAGGTTGGAAATCAAAGCACTTAAAGCGCTGTTAAGGAATTTTGATCTTCTTCTTCTTTGTACGGTTTATTGGCGGTTGGCATCAAGGTCTATTACTGCGATAGACTGGATCTACTGACCATTGATATACTGGATTCTTGAGCAATGAAAAATAGGGTAGGGCGGTAATGCACCTTGGTGTTGGTTGCCACTCGCCAATAAACCAAACAAGGAAGAAGAAGAAAGCTAAATATTTATTATCAAGTATTAAGAGTTGAAAAATAAGAGTAGAAAGGTCCCGAATGAGCTGAACATGTGGATGCTTGAATGGATGAAGCATGTTAAAGAAACTGAAAAAACAACAGTGTGACTGCTGTATGGAGAAGTAGCCTACTCCCAAGTATCAGTATAATCTAACAAGTAAAGGAAGACGTCTTATTCCCATTTATCTAAACTCAGGGCCGCACAGGAGTCTGGGTAGTCGCATTTGACTGTCCAGGCACTGCTGGTGTGGGCGTTGTCTCCTCCCAGAGGCAGCTGGTTTGCTCCCTGGACATGGTGAGCCACCACCTTGGGCATCATACACGCTGTCTGGTTCCTGGAGATGCTGTCCTGTCGCCATGGGAACCACATCTGAGGAGCTATGGGCCGGGGAGAGTGATGGCCATCACTGAGCGCAGAGGTGAACTTAAAATGTACAAATGTTCTCTATGCTGGAGATGGTGCATGTCAAGATTATTATTGTATATTATTGTATATAGTCATGACCCCCCCCCCAGTAAAGCCATGTTATATCTTAATCTATTTTCCTGCAGCTAATGGTGTTGTGTGTCTCCGGGTGCTGATGTGGAATCGCTGTGTGTCTCTGGTTCCTGACCGCCTGGTTTTACCCATTTTGGAATCTCACTATGACAGGATAACCAGAGAGCTCCAAATCCCAACATCAGCCCAGAGTCAATACTGCAGCTGGTTTTCTGCCTGCAGCTCCTCCTGCCCTCCCAGGCTGTTCTGCTTTGACTGCTCAGCATCTACACCTTGCTGCCGTTCAGTCACCAACCACTGGCCCAGTGTGGTTCCACCCAGATGTAGGTCGAACCTTGGAGAGATGGATGGATCTGAGAGGGCAGTGCGGGATAAGCAGACGGACCTCAAAGATACAGAAATGGGAAAAGGTGACCCAGAGTTCTGTTCCTCTTCATCTCTTACTGATGGCGAGACCAGAGAGATGTTTCCTCCTGATGTGAAAGTGAGGAGTAAACAACGTCCTCCCTGGAGGTACTGGAGGAGAATAGGGCCCGAGCCTCAGCACAGACAGCCAGGTGGGAAACACAAACACTGAATAAACTAATGAGTTCTTTGAGAGAAATCAGTGAAACAACCCAACTCAAAACTAGCTGTTGTTTTCTGTTGTTGAAATAATAAGAACATTATTACAGCTACAAACAACAACTAAACTCTGTCGAACACTTATGGCAACATCAGACTGGAATGGCTCTGCCAACCAGTGTATTTTCAGTCTACATATGAGGTCACAGTGACCTTTGACTGAAATCTAAACAGTTCAGTGACAACTGGTCAGAATTTGAAGAAATTCCTGGACAGACTTAAAATATCATGTTCAAGATGCCAAAAATATGTTTAGTGAGGCCATCGTGACCTTAACAAATATCCAGTTAATCTGTAAACCCAAGTGAACATGTGTGGCAAATTTGAATGAATTCACTTGAGTTGTTCCTGAGATATTACATTCATAATACACAACATTTGTTATGAGAGGACAAAGTCACTTTGACCTCATGCCACCAATATCTAATCAGTGTTCACAAGAATGAGGCGGATGTGCGGTTCACCGAAAAATGAAAATTCACCCATTATCTCACAACTATGCCAATGGAGGAGTGGGTGAAGTGTTTGAGTCTACAAAAAAACTTTAGGAGTATCAGGGATAAACAGTGTTTCAGCCAAAGTGACCCCTTCTTCAGAAGTAATAAAACAACAGAAGAAAAACCCAACATACTGCTTGTGTGGTAACATCCAAGTGAAGCCCCGACATTCATATTAACAGACGCAGCCACACGAACGTGCACCCCCAGCTGCCTTTGTTGTTTCATTACATCTGAAGCGTAGCTCACAATTGACTTAAATTGTATTGGAATCAGCTGCAACACTGTTTTCACCCCTGAGACTCCCGAAGTGTTTTGTGGACGCAAACTCTTCACCCACCCCTCCATCGGCATAGTGGTGAGTAGATAATGAGTGCGTTTCCATTTTTCGGTGAACTATCCCTTTAAGCCACTGCCTGTTGCCAGTGCAGTTCCATTGAAATATCGATGACACTGATATCGTGGTCAAACTATGGTATTGCAGTTGAGGTTTCCAACAAAAACATGTATTTTGCAAACCTCTGATAATGTAAAGTAACACCAGTTAACCTGCAGGAGATCTGTGCATGTTTATCATTTTCTATGTTAATCTGCAGGGAGCGAGGTGCCCAGGAGGAACTCACAACCTTCAAAGTTCAGCTTCTCTGTCCCGCAGATCAGCACCCCCTTGCCCAATCACAGCTCTATGTTTCAGTCACTTCCTGGTGCTAAAGGAAGAAGAGCTAACATCATAGAAATGTTTGGCATGAACTTTTAACCTCGTCCACCTGTGGGACTGCAGCCTGAAAAATGCTGTCAGTGTGCAGATTATGAAACTTGACACGTGTCTTACAAAGTCTGTAAAAAAACAAATCGCTGTTTGAATAAGAAAACACTTTATTTGATAACACTGATGCAGGTAAAATACTGTTAAGTGCATGACATCGTGTTCTAATTTAAATACAATCAATAAAATGCAACAAAATATGGCTTCTCATTGTGCAGGAAATAAAATATTTTGATAATAAAATAAAAATGTAAACTCCATGTAAAGCTGGCGACAACACACGTATACTTAGCATTGGTCCGTTCTGTTACAACAGGTGAAGGGTTTGGTTTGGTCAGAGGTTAAAGGTGAGGTCGATGCTCTCTCCAGCTCTGACACTAACCAGCTGAGTCTGCTGCGGCGACTCTGGCATGTGGGCAGTGATGGCATACGTTCCCGGAGAAACCTCGATGTGGAAATCTTCATCTGTTCCCGAAACACGACCCTGAAGAAGAAACTTGAATTTTAACAGATTTCCAAAGGCAGCATCACAGGACTGAAGGAGTGAACATCAACATTGAAGCTGAGGGAAAATTAGCTCCCGATTAATCAACCAAAAACATTTAATCATAAAAGCCTAAAGGAGACTATACTCATCGTGTTTTTGGAAACACTTTTAGTTTTTAGCAATTGTATGTTTTAAGTGTAAGGATTGTATGTGTGTTTTTGTTCTGTGTTTTGCATTTTACTTTTACACTGAGATGGACCTTTATGTAAAGACATTATTCTCAGGAGTTAATGGATTTGACCACTTTCTGTCAGCTGTGTGTGATAACTTACATTTTAGCTATGATGATTTGTTAAAACAGAGGTTTCCTTCAAAACACAAACAACTGCAAGACTAAAAGTAAAGTCATCATGTCATTAGATCTGTTGCACAAAGCTCTTACGTGTTTCCTGGTTGGCAGAGCGGCTGTTGTCCTCCCAGCAGCTGGTCGAGAGTGGAACCTGGACACGTGGTTCCTCTCTTTGTCAGTGGGGTCAGTGCAACAGCCTGACGCATAAAACCTCTGCAGCAGACATCGTTTATATTTTAGTCTTCCCGGTCACTAGCTTAGGGCACACACACACACATCACGTGAAGACAACACCTCACAAATATTTACTGACCTTGCACTGATAGGTTGTCTGTGCCATGAGCTCTGCCAGGGTTGCAAAGGTATCATTAAGCTCTGTGTGGCATCTCTGAAAAGGCAACAAAAGTGAGGAGCTTGACTTGAGAATAGGTGATATAATATGAAACTCAGTCAGGGTCAATCAATCTATGGAAGCAGTGACATTATACAAAAACCATGTAGGCACCTTGACAGGGATTTGTGTGTCTTCCTCTGGGGTAGTTGGGGTCTGGGATGCACCAGTGCTGGTCCAGTCCACGCTACGCCTGGAGGCCCGCTGTAGCACCTCGAGACCCAGACTGGCAGAGCGCTGCAGGGAAGACTCCAGCCAGGCGTGGCTGGTCATGACCAAGTCAGGTAAAAACTCAGGTGATCTTCACCTGAGAGGAGGAACAAGAAGAGAGCATACGATCATAACTATACCTCATGAAGACCAATAGACTGGAGCTTTGTTCCAAATATACACTGGACTGATTTAATGGTTTGATGTGTGCTAGGCAGATTAACATGGAGGGAAGTGTTTTGGATCAGGGAAGAATCTATTATATTTTGGTGCAGATCTGGATCAGGGGATCCTATTTTTATTTACATTTTTTTTACAATCTCACTGATTTTTCAAAGCAATTCATGGATTCTGCTGAAAAAAAAATCAGACACATTTAAAGGACTGATATTTATGAGTGTGAGCAATTTGTTGCTTGTGACTGCTGTGCATGAAGTGATCTTACTTCACTGACATGTTCCAGTATTTTCAAACATTTTTAGACTAACTTTAAGGGATAATTAGTAAAATAATAGGTAAATTAGTTGGTGATAAAAATAGGTGCAGACCTGATTTAATGTCAATAAAATGAAACAGTGTTGAAACTATCACGTATTCTGCAGTAAGAGATACTGTAAATGCCAGGAAACTAATTCTTAAAGCCCAAGACCACACAGGCTACTATCATCACCTATTTTGTTTCACTATCTGAACATACGACATTTATTATGAACTTAAAAAGCAAATCATCACAACTAATCAACCGGAGCTGGAATTTTTAAATAACAACAAAGAAAACAATTCTTTTTTAAATGCTGCAGATTAGTTGTTTGATGATCATTTTATCAATCAGTCAGCTTTCATCGATCAGTAGTATTATCAGTTTGGTGGGTTCATTCACAAATATGTGATCATGAGCTACTTCAGTCTACGTCTCGCAATTAATACAGGATTATACAATGAAACTGCGCATGCGTGTAGATTAACGCCACTCTAAGCTTCGATGGAAAGCTCATGTTTTTATTTGGTAGCAACTCACGTTCTATCGTAAAGTATTGTACAGTTTACACGTTCTTCAGTCACTTCATGCAGGTGATCCAGTGAGGAGATGGTTTACGTGTTTACTTGTTGCGTTGAGGTAAAAATACGCAGAAACACGTCACTGAGACTTTAAAGCTATGCTTCAGAGAAACCCACGCTTCTTCTGTCGCTTACCTTTATCGTGTAGTTCTCACATTTCCCACGTTAAGCGTGTGAAGCTTCACTTTCACTCACAGCTCGTAGTTGTGTTGCGTGGAAGTGTCGGGACAGGAAGTACTGCATGCTAAGCCCCGCCCCCCGTCCACAGTCACGTGGATGTTTATCTCGGATCATTTGGAGGGATTTGCAAACATAGTGATAAGTCAGACTGGTGCAGTTATATCCGATAAATATCACATGTCGATCTTAGGACGCGAAGAACAGCTCCACAGGCCGAGCCACGGTGCGCAAAGCCCGGCCAGACGCACCCGGAACAAGGGAGCGCTCCTCTCCACTCGCCGAGTATTGTCTGATATGTAATCATTGTCCCAGTGTTCCAGAGATCCCAGTGCCTGCATCGTCAAGTTCCCCCTCACGCTTTTCTCTGTGATGAACATGACCACACACAGGAGTCGTCTCACTGCGCACACATTCACTCCATCTTCTAATTTCACACTAAATGCATTTAATGAGTTGTTAATATAAATGCTCTACTCAGGCTCAACTCATACATTTAATGATTTTTTTTTTGCAGACCACCAGGAGTGAATGGATCTTGCAATTGATTTGTGTATATATTCATTATATTGTAGAATATTGATATGTTGAAAATTGAGTATTTTAGCTGCATGAAAATAAAGTTTCCATGTGGACAAATGAGCAGTTCATTAGAACAATGTTCAATGCAGTGGAGCAGTTCATACTTTTTATGAACTTAGTTTAGTGAGTGTGTTTGATATGCACATGTTTTTTTTTAAGTAGCCCAGACTGGACCAACTAAGAAAATGCCCCAAGAACAAGCAGGAACTAAAGACAGTTGCAGTAGAGGCCTGGCAGAGCATCACCAGGGATGAAACCCAGTATCTGGGGATGTCTACAGTTCTAGACTTCAGGCTGTAAATGACTGCAAGGGATTTGCAGCCAAGTATTAAAAAGTGAAAGTTTGATTTATGATTGTTAATTTGTCCCATTACTTTTGGTCCCTTAAAAAGTGTGAGGCACATGTACAAACTGTGGTAATTCCTACACCGTTCACCTGATTTTGATGTAAAAAAAACCCCCTCAAATTAAAGCTGAAGTCTGCAGTTACAGCACATCTTGTTTGTTTCATTTCAAATCCATTGTGGTGGTGTATAGAGCCAAGAAGATTAGAATTGTGTCAATGTCCCAATATCTATGGACCTGACTGTATGGTTTACTCTCTCAGTCCCTTGGCCTCACAATAACCATAGAAATGGAGTGAGATTTGGTGGGAATGCATAACTTATCAAACCACTTTCCCATTTGAAATCAGACATCAAACATGTTCCAATTTATACAGTTTATTTTTGCAAAAAACACACTGACAGGAGTTTTATGCCATCAGCACGCAGGCTCCTCCCACTGCCTTGATCTTCTCTTCGGCCCGTCTGCTGAAGAACTTGGCCTTGACGATCACAGGCTGTTTGGGCAGCTTGCCTTTGCCAAGAATTTTGTAGTAGCCCTGGAAAAACATAAGATACATGAATCCACCATAGCTCAAGAAAACAAATATCATCTGACAGAATATCACTCAGCTGTTTTTTAATGTTCAAACTTAGAGGCTTAAATAGCAATATTTGCCCATACTTAACAGGAAATGAGCACTGAACAAGTGCATATTACATTAATTTGTATTACTCATTCAATCTCATAGTAAAACGAATTTGCTACAGTTATTGTGGCAATATGTTGGGACTTCCTGTAAGATATTGCCGATTACCTCTAAATTAAACATAAATGGTAAGACTGGTTGGAATTTGAGCTTGTTACATGGACATTCAAGCTCTCAATGACCCAAACTCTATTGCTTAAACAGTGATGAGTTTTGTCCAACACTTACAGCGCGCACAGCATCAATGATGGGGGCGGGACCATCAGGCTTCTTGCCATAGTTGAGTCTGGTCTGCTCGCTCACCAGCGTCCACAGCTTGTCCAGGTTGATGGTGGGGCAGTGGGTCGTGTTTCTCTTCAGATGGTAATGTCTCATACCCACTTTACCGAAGTAGCCCGGATGGCTGAGGGTCAACAGAAAAGACAGACGTGAGGTTAACTGCAATACAACCAGTCCTGTCATTGACTACATGTATGCTTGGAATGACGGGATAGCAAATACAGGCAGTCTCTTGGATACGTCATTTATATTTAGTTTAAGTATTACTGTATCATAATTCTTAAGTCACACTCTACTGGAGCACAACAAAGTTAGACCAAGACATGATAGGAGCTTTGTAACTGCCCATGTGGGTGACTGGCCAACAAAAAGCCAGTCGGTGAATAGGACCAGTCTTCACTCTAAGAGGACTCAAGCACACCAAGACAATGATTTTGTGTCAAGATGAGACTCTAGTCTCTACACGAACATCACCCGTTACTTGACTAACAGCAGAAATGCAGGCATGAGGTACAATGCCATGCTTAACTGGTGAATGAATGTTTAACACAAATGTCAGTGTCCTATATCAGGAACATTGAAAATCAACTGTGATGTAGATATTATTGCTAATAAACACAGACCTACACTTTTGTCAGGAATTGTTCCTAGACACACATTCCTACAAACAGTGCAGTGAATACACATGCACGGTTGCATTTTATTTGTAAATTCTATTTACATTGTGACAATCTTTTAACAACCGTCCAGCTTCCATCATGTAGATGAGATGAAAGCGACGATCACGAATGATCACCATACGTCAAAGAACCAACAGGCTGCCTTTCCAAACTAAACTTTTCAATAAATTGATGGACTGCACATTCCTTTTCCAGCTTCCCCAGATAATCTGCCCACTTCATTAAACCACACAGTGTTGTCTTTCGTCTCTGGTGCAGCCATGCATTCGAGCATGTAGGTTTGTGTTTGTAAATTTCAAGTGCAGCTTCTTCTGTTTGCCATACCTGACCTCATTTTCCGACATGCCACTGTTCTGTTATGTCCTTAATCAGGTATTTATTATATTTTATTTATAACTTGACGGCTACATAACAAGTGTGTTGTATGTTCAAATATTTTGATAAAGCAGTTAATGGGATTTAATGTTTAGTTTTCAGCAATAGTATCAAATTGGATATCAGGAATCATGAAAATTTCATACTGTTGACTAAGTATTTGGTATCGTGACATCCCTCATCTCAAGTATAAGACGTGTATCAACAGAACAAAGTTTTAACACAACCACATTCTTTTGTATCACAACTTTGCATTAATACTGGTTAAAGATGTGAGCTCAGCTGGACTACTGTATACAAGAACTATTATCACTTTACTCCAACTCATTCCAACACATGAAGCAGCACTTACTATTTGTCAAAGTTGATTCTGTGGTGATGCATACCACCAGCATTACCACGACCTCCAGGATGCTTCCTGTGCTTGCCTGTTCACAAGGACGAACCAGTGTTAATAACCACATTGAGATGAACAGAACTAAACAGCTAAACCTACTCAGCCCTCAGTGGGGTGTTCAAACTCACCGATGCGACCATGTCCGTGACTGACGTGTCCTCGGAGCTTCCTGGTCTTGGTCTTCTTGGTCGGCTGTTTGGAAACAATGGATGAAAATTAAAATACCTGAACTTCATCTTTCACCAATGTGGATGTGGCGCTTTGGTTCTGAAGCTAGCAACGATTAGCAACATTTCAGAACGCCCAAGAAACCCTCTGTAAAATGGCTCCACGGCGGGTTAGAAAACTAAAACCATCGGAGAGCATAAAAATAAATTTAAAACGGGACACAGCAAACACATGAACACTAAAACACGCTCAGCCGGTCTGTCCCGTGTCCCCGTGTACTTACATGCTGCCTAGCATCTCAGAAGCTATCGATAGCTCCCCGGCAGTTTTACGCACACAGCAGAATAAGAAATTAGCACAGCATTCAGTGTCAGTTCTAACATGTGTAGCAGCTTCTTGTGTCACGTTGATGTAGACAATCGTGGTTTTATGATCGCGTTAACTCCTAGCTAACAACCAGACAGGAACCACAGGCTAACTGCAGCAGCCGGAGGCCAAGCTACCGCACAGGCAACTGCTCACAAATCCCGGTAGAGTTAATAAATGTGTGTAATAACAGCCAGGAATCACTCAGCAGAGGAGACCGCTCAACAAAATGTCACCCGATGATACTTTTCCTGCCCGAACGAGCCAGGATGGACACAGATTTATCTCTAGTGCAGTGCTGAGGGGTTCACGGTAGCACCTACCATCTTGGAGGAGAGTTGAAAGAGGAACGGGATTTGGAAGTCACGCGGTTTTGTGCGAGATTTACCTCCCGACAACAAAGTGCAGTGTGTCTTCTTTGTGTTTTAATGGCGATTGGCAAACCTGCTTACAGGCTCATTACCGCCATCTACTGGACTGGAATTTATAACAACAGCACGCCGAATCATGAATCAGCGTACTGATATCTATGAGTGTGTGCAACTTGATACAGATCCAAATAAAACATTTAATGAATTTAAATTATGCAAAAACTACTGGACTCTTTCCATAAGACTTGGTGGACGGCTGTGGTCAGGGAAGAACGCATTTCATTTTAGTATGGCTTTTAATCAGAGAGGTGCATCCAGGAATTGTTTTCCCCTTTAAACTAAGATAGAGCATTTTTTGACATTTCCCCTGATATCTCAGGGAACAATTCAAGAAGTGAAAAAAATCTGGCACATTTCAGGAACTCATATCTGTGAATGTGTGAAATTTGGTGCCGCTTGATTGAATTTAATGAGACTGTTGGGACCTGGCAGAGGTGTGTACTCTAGTGACATTAAAGCTGCACTTGATGAACAAAATCCTCTACAATACGTCCTCAAATAAACCCTGACCAGTGCAAATACTATTACAACACAATAACATAATATTTATGCTTACAATCTTAATTGCAGAAAATGAGCAAAACCTTTTTCTCAGATTTAAACTAAACACACAATAAGCAAAAAAAAAATATCAAGAAACTTTGTTATTCCTCTTGATGAGGAACAAGAACATGTCAGTGTTGTTCATGTGGGTTCATACAGGTACAGACAAGCTACATGTTCATTTACATACAGTTGGCTGTTATTCAAATTGAAGCAAACTATTAAGAATATCTATATATTACAGGAGTGAACTCGGTTTATAATCTCATATCTGCTTCATGCTACGATGGAAGACAAGAGACACTTCCACAACAGCTTCACAGGAGTTTCTGAGCCTTAATCAACCCCATCAAGCATGTAAGGAATTTACTTTCTTCTTTAAATCAGTCAGTAATTAATGTTGCAAGAAATGTCATATGTTTGAATTTATACATGATTTATGTTAATGTAGTTCTCTCAGAATAATGAAAATGGAATATAAAAATGAACATTTACCCAAGTACAGTAATTTGAAAGTACTTTACTTGGGAATTTCCATTTCACAGTGCTTTATATTCTATAGTTTTTACTCACTCTTTTTTCCAAGTTACTAGTTAAGTTTGAAATATTCATATATTAATATGCTGCATCTAACAATGTCATGTAAAGTAAAAGTAAAGTTATCCCACAATAGGACTACTGAAAACAAACCATTTCTGAAGCACTATTCTTGACACACTTGTTTAAGTGACTGTCAGTGAGCAGTGCTGCAACGTCACAGCTGACCGAGGGTGAATCCGCTTTCCACCAATCAGATCGTCCGTGTCACCCTTGATACCGGACAAATGTTACGTTTGCATCCCTCTCATCTTCAGCTCACATCCACCCAAGGACACACTCACCTGCTTCCTGAAGCATAAATCTTGTGCTCTCTATCATCCACACTCAGGTAAGACACAATTACCATTGTACTTGATCCTGCATTTTTAACGTTCTGTTTCATCATGTACACAATTTCTTTTATTTTCTATGTTATTATCCTTCGAATTACCCTGTATTACTTTCCTCAAATGTGCAGACAAATTAATCTAAAAATGTAATTCTTCTGCTTCACCTCCGGCTTTTCTGCTTTTCTGTTTGTTTTGATTCCTGTATTTTGCCGTCAAACACGGAGCACACAGGAGATGTCAAACCAGCACCTTCTTCTGTGTTTTCTCTTTTCTTTATTCAACCCAAGGGGCCTGATCTCCTGGAGATGACAGACCTGGTGCACAGATGCCATGGCAACTTTCCCCAAAGGCGTGCCACCCTTTTGCCACAGGTAGGAGTGTGTAGAGCCCAGCTCACACTGGAGGCCATGCCATCTGAGAATATTGTCTAAATCCAGAATCTGCAGCTGAGGAACCAAGTGTCCCAGCAGAACATGTAGCGTAGTCACTGAGAGTTCTGTAACAAAGGCTTCAGCGATGGAGGTGGGGGTCATCGCCTCAGCTGGGTGTTTGTTACAGTGAAAGTGGGAGAACAGTTATTGATTTTGAATTTGATTATTATTTACAAGAATGGCACTCAATCTCATTATTTGATAGCTCTGCAGGGGTGGATTGTCTGAGATGAAAAAGGAGTCAAGTCAGTTTTGCAACGGTGAAGCTAGAACAGCCTCGCCATCATCTGAAAAACCTGTCACCAGTGTCGCAGCTGTACTGAAGAGAATAAGGTAAATGAAATCACACAAGTGAAGTTTGCTCGCTGCACAACACTAATGTATTTAAAGGAAAAGTTGGACATTTTGGGATATAAGCTTATTTGCTTTCCTTGATACCTTTCACATATCTGTGCATCTTGATAGTTAGTTTGACTTAAAGACAGAAAACACATGGAAATATCCAGCCTGACTCTGTCCAAAGGACAAACATCTGTCTACCAGCACCTCTGCAGCTCAATAATGATTGTAGTCTAGTTTTTTAATCTGTGCCCAGAGAGTGTAAAACAGTGGATACAGTCCAAGAATGGTTCTCACTAGAGTGCATATCTCCAACGAGGTCTTATTAAAGTCAATCAGTCTCCACCAAATTTCACACATTCATGGATATCAGTTACCTAAATGTTCCAGATTTTTTCATCATGATCCATACCCATATTGTCTGGAAAAAATGCCACAACTGATTAATTAGTGAGCCTTAGAGGCGCTGAGTGTATGTTTAAACTCTGGGCAAAGCAAGGCTAGCTGTCTCCATCTGCTTCCAGTCTTAATGCTAAGCTAGGCTAATCACCTCTAAGCCTGAGCTCTGTATTGAATAGGCTACACATATATATTATAATGTAAGACAGCTAATAAGTGAATTTCCAAAATCACAAAACTGCTCCTGTAACGTTATTTCATCTATGTTGAGTTATGATTTGAGATAATTGACCAGACGGTATTTTGTTTGTGTGATAAGAAAGCTCTATTGATCTGCTTAAAAATGTCAGTCAAGTCTTCATTTATTTCCACAGGGTTCATCCAGAGGCCCAGAGGATTTTGGGTAATTCCTTCATACCTGTAGTGAGCCTGGAGCGCCTGAACTTCCAGTCTGTCTCCTTATCGTCTTTGCAGCCTGTGGTGTCTCTGGCACGACTTCCCTGGCAAACACAAACTGGGCTCAACAATGACGTCGCTTTAAATCACCCTCAACAGGTAAAGACAAAAACAACAGGAGTCATCTATGATGATTATTTTTACCTTTTGCTTGACTGTCTGTGTCCTAATCTCTGCTCACAGAATGGATTCAGTCAAAATGAGGCAGGCATTTTAGAGATCAGAGAGGATTCACCTGAAGCTGAACCGGCAGCGTTATCTGATCTCACTCAACCAGAAGCAACATCAATTTCCTGGACTGAACCATACTCTCTTGACAGTTTCTCCTGTGAAGAGCCAGAACAGGATGCAGGCTTTGACTGTGAATCAAACCCGGATCAGTCGTACATCCTGTTTGATTGTGGATCTGATGAATGGGACCCAGATGGAAAATCAAACTCTGAAACATTTTATTTGGATCCAGATCAGGAGCAGACCATTATGATCGAACTGGATCCAGAACCAGACACCGATCAGACCGCTTCCCTGCAGCTTGAGGATGCATCTGAAGCTAAATGTGAGGCGGATGTGGTTGAAATGGAAGGGAATGAAGAGCAATGTGCTGATGTTTGCTGCTCACAGGAAGAGGGACCCTCATCCATCCATCAGCCTGAACCTGGAGAGGGGACTGAGGAGGTGGAGAGTGAAGACTTCTGTGCCGTCTGTCTGAACGGAGGAGATCTGCTCTGCTGCGACCGCTGCCCTAAAGTTTACCACTCAGCCTGTCACATACCTCCTCTCATCATCCTCCCACTGTAAATACTGTACAAGTACACATATCTGCAGAATGTATATGCATTTATCAGCTGTAAACACTCTTATATCATGACAATTAATGCACTCATTGTGGCTTAGGCCAGTTGTTTCCAACTTTTTTAATTTGGACCCTTCATCACATATTTATAAGCAGATCAACCAGTAGAGCCTGGCTGATAATGGAATTTTTTTAAGTAATGCTGATAATGGGTGGTTTATTTAAGTAATGTCTGTGTAGAGCACATACCTCCCCTGAGGCCCACAAACATTTGAATCACTAGATCCTTCCATTTTTCAAACAAATCCGTCCCCTAAACATGTCTGATTTAAAAAAAATAAGATCAATAAATTATTATCAGCCATAATTTCTCAGATAAACAATGAAAAGGTGATAGTATTTCATTACTTGATTTATTTGTCAGGCTCTACCTCTCAGATTTGTCTGTGGACCCCTAATCCCAGTATTTGTATCTTTTACTTAGTGTTGATGATCTCACCAGACTCAAATTTCTTTCGGGCATTTATCCTCAATTAGTAGCTGATTTCCAAAAGGCGATACCATACTCTTCCTTTTGAGGACACCTTGTGAATATATTATTGAAATGTAAATTTACATAAAACTCCAACTGTGCAGCTTTCAAAAGAGGCAATTAAAAAATAACGGTGCCATCATTTTCAACAAATTCTGTCCCAGTATAATGAGCTGCCCACAGTGTGTTCTCTGCATGATGAGGTGAGAGCTGTAAGCCTGATGAACAGGATTTAAAACAAACAAGTTGTTCTTCACACTTCCAGTGTTGCTGGAGTTGTGGCCTCTTCGTGTTTGTGTTCAGTGTAATGGAGGAACAAGTCATACAAATATTTTTATTTACTATCATGGAATAATAGAAATAAAAGACAAAATAATGCCACTGTATCATTCAGCAAACAAAAGACATAGGTTTATTTCATAGATGGAATGAATGAGAAAATATATTTTCCGAACCGTGAGCTAACACAGTCCTGTGTGTCCTACAGAGGGGACTGGGTGTGTACGCTGTGCAGGTCTGACCAGGAACCTGTGGAGGCCTACGACTGTGAGAACATCCACAACTGTGAGGGAATCAAACCCCTGTACACATTGTCCAACCAGGACCAGAGGGTGAGCTGTGATGCATTGGTTCGGTTTTCATGCTGATGTCTGGAAGAATTTTGTATTTTTTCTTATACTTCTTTATATTGATAAACCTTTATTAAGCCAATGTGGGCTTAAAGGTCAGTTTCATGAATAACCAACCAAGATAAAGTTAGGAGGAAAACCAAATTATAATTCAATCATTTTACTGATAATAACCGTTTCACAAAATTCGAATGAAGAATCACAGAAGAGAATGCAATTACATACGGTTTGTATAACAACAAAACTGTAGTATATTGTGATTGTGCATCACTTGTATGCTTCTCTGTTTTAAATCAGTGTATGAGTGTGTGTGTTTGTGTGTTTCCCTCTGCAGAGGTGTGAGAAGTTGACCCTGCTGTTGTACTGTCACCTGCTCAGCGCTCCGTTTCATGAACCCGTCAGTCGTCTGGTCAGATGAAAAAGATAATACAACTAATTACATATGAAGTGATCTTATACCAACTAATTTTAGTAAATTGAGGTTTTTCATTAAAACCTGTTTCATGGTTTTCAATCATGAATGAGATACTGTGTAGCATCAACACTTTCAGTTGGTTTTCCTTGCTCAGTCTTTACATGATTTGCAAATAATGTTTTGTTACAATAATGGAAACATGTTCAGTGTCTTACATGTGTCAAGACAGACGCCAGATTGTTAAAAATCATTTACCAGCGACAAAGTAGACACTTATGATGCTGACTTCATTTACAACTCACACAAAGTGACTGCAGCATGTAACGATCATAACACTCTGCGTACAGAGAAAACACTGACTTACTTTAAAGGTGATGTCAAAGCCATAAACCTCTCGTCCTAAGTCTAATCTCCGTGACTGCCCTCCAGGCTCGAAACTACTACCAGATCATCAAGAGGCCCATCGACCTGTCGGTGATCCGCAGGAAACTGGACAAGAGCAAAACTGTGCACTACTTCAGCACTGAGCAGTTTGTCGATGACGTCCTGCTGATGTTAAAGAACTGTGCTACTTTCAATTACGTAAGTGTGTCATAAGGATGTTGGAATCTGAGTGGATTTCCCAGTTTAATCTAATTTCTCCTGCAATTAAATTATCTCTTCAATATTGCCTGAGGGAATAAATTCCACATGTAACAGCAAACAGGCCCACTTTGATTTATCTATTTATAGGCATCACCAATTGGGTTGTGTCTATCTGCTGGTACATAGTAAATCTCAAGTCAAGACATCACTAGCTCCATTTTGATTCTAGCATATGCTGAGTCCCAGGTCCATAGCCTGATTATGAAGGATTTTCAGATTTGAAATTAAAGTACATGCCAAGCAAACAGTATGCAGAATAAATACAGCAGCTTTTGTATTTTGTTGATGCACTCTATATTGTCACCATTTTGTTTTCATAATTACCTCATGAAGAGTTATGGCTCTAGGCTTATTTTGTGAAGTCATACTGACCTTAACTGTAGACCAAATTCTAATCTGTTCATCATTGAGTCCAAGTGGACATTTTGTTTTGCCAGATTTGCCAGAATTCCCTCTGGGTGTTTCTAATATATCATGTTCACAAAAAATGTGAGCTCACCGTGACCGTTGACCCTTTACTTTGAGGTGTTTCTATATATGGACATATGGATGGATTGGATTGGACAAACCGATAATATACCTCCAGACATTGCTGTTACTGACACAAAGGCATCAACATTTAATTGAACTTCTCTCTCTCTGTGATGTGCAGCCGGACTCAGAGGTGGCTCAGGCCGGCCGAAACCTGGAGGTGTTCTTCTTCAGCAAACTGAAGGAGATTTTTCCTGACAGGACGTTCCCGACGGCCAGCCAGGAAACAGTGGACGCCGCTCGTCTCCGCTGGCTGAGCAGGAAGAGGAAGGAAAACTACAGAAGGAGGAGATACATGTTTAGTGGGAAAAAATATTATCTTTAACTTAACATTGTTGTGTTAACGCCTTTTAATTCAAAACAGGTTGGAAACCTAAGCATTTTGTACTTTTATTTTTACAGGGAGAAACAATAACGTGTGTCATATATTTTCATCAAATGTAAATTTTTCATATTAGTTTAAGGGCAGCACGGTGATGCGGTGGTCACCTCACAGGTTCGAATCCCAGTTTGCTTCTACAGTCCAAAAACATGCAGATTGGGATTAGGTTAACTGGACATTCTAAATTGTCTGTATGTGTGAATGTGAGTGCGAACGGTGGTTTGTCTTTGTAGCCCTGCGATTCGCTGGTGACCCGCCCACCTCCACCAAATGTCAGCGGGGATTTGCTCCAGCTCCCCCAGCGACGGTCAAGTGATGAACTGTGTAGATAATGATCAAGGTGATGACTAGACATCAAGGTGATGACTAGACATCAAGGTGATGACTAGACATCTTGTCTTATTTGACTTTTTGTGGTGTAACTGAGATTGTTCTTTAACTCTGTGAAAATTAAACTAGGGCCTCGGACATCACTATGTAGGTGGTCAGTTATACAGGTATAATACCTGGTCTTATAAACATTGGACAAAGGGTTTTACATATAACACAATTTCCAAACACAGACCTGCTTGTTCAGATGTAGAGGTTCTGCCGCAAGATACAGACGTGTGTGTTGTCCCAAACTTTGGAGCATGACACCTTAACTTTAAGTGGCAAAGTGTTTGGCTTCTTTTCACGATTTGTCACCTATTGTTATACTTACAATTATAATGGAAACCACCTGAAATGATGTGGAGAGAAATACTTGGAAATAAGAATCATGCTGAGTGGAAGTTTGTATTATTTTTAACATCAATTGAAAGGGAGGATACTACTTATTAAGAGTTTCTGACGACTACATCAATTTAACTTACACATCTTTAAATACAGTTTAAAGTTAATATTCGTCTCCCCTCATTTGCCATTATTACACACGACAGCCACCAGGGGTCATCTTTGTGTTTATTTCCACGTCACAACTTCAGCATTAGCCCTACTGTTTTCTAAACAACTGATCAACACTGTTGGAGATTATCCAGATTGAATAAAGAACAAAGGAGCCAGATCCTTGATAAATACGAAGTCGGCTGGAGGTCTGTCTCAGTGTGAACACAATCTGTAGATATAAAACTGACAGTTCTTCTTTGTAATTAACTCGCTGTTTGAAATCAACCACATCTCTTCTTTATAAGTAAACCTTTATCCCCACGTCCCTTAAGTTTACATTTTAGATATGTCTATTGGTAAGGACAGCACAGGGTATAACTTTACAAAGTGCATTAAAGGTCCCATTTTGCTGAAGGTAAGTTTCTTGAAGACAAAGCAGGTGCTCCGTGAATACTATGAAAGCATCAAAGCACTCAGTCCATGGAGGAATGTCCACTCTCCATGGATTAGGTGCACTGCAGAAATTGCTTTAAAGAGCCATCAGGACTTCTGTAACTTGATCTGCTTTCAGACATGCACGTGCATGTATGGGGACCCCACCCCTGCTGGATTCACTGCAAGCTAGTGGTGTGGTTGAAGACGCTTCTACCACAAGACAGTTGCAATAATGACAAAGCGGTGTTGTACATGATAACAATCACATGACCTCCACAGTGGAGTTAATATGTCCCTTCAGGTTGACACCAACTGGACCACAATTCATGTCTTCACTGGCTCCCCTGCAGAGGCTGCTGCTGCTGAGCTTCATCATCCAGTCTGGACAGTAATGTCACTGCAGGAAGACACAACGTCTGCCAAGTGTCTCACAAACATGATTCACGATACACCAGAACAATGTTGTTTAAACACTTCAATAAAATGCAGAAACATGCTTGATTTATCTGTTTACATTTTACATGCACTTGAATATTTCCATTTTATATCATACACTTAAACTCTATTACATCTATTTGACATTTGTTAACACATTACTCTGTAGATCAAGATTGAAAAAATGAAATGTCTGATTAATAATATAACTAATATAGACAAACTACCCAACAACAGAATATTTATTCTTAATTAATAATCTTCAATTAAAACATTAACATTCTGCTTCCATAGTTAGGCATTAGTTATTATAAACCAATTATACAATCCAAAAGAGTGTATGTATGGAATTAAATATATAATGTATATGTAACTTTAAATACAATTTCAATGTAAAGGGTAAGCTATTAAATAAAGTTAAAGTTATAGATAAATATATACATTAAATACTCTCTACAGAGGCCGCCATGCTGTCGTCCAAACTGGACCAACTAAACCCCTTTAAGGTTTTGATGACAACTGAAGATACCACAGATTCTCTTTCATGTTTGGAAGGAGAGSGTGAGGTGAGGGGTAATCAGTTGCAACATGCAACTTCACCACTAGATGTCAGTAAATTCTACACACTGAACCTTTAAAAACGATTATATTCTTTTTTCAGAAGTGTTTCAGGACATTCTGTTCTTTCAAGATTCAGCTCGGTGTATTTTGTCCGACACAAACAGTTCATGCCATTTGCACTTGAAGGCTCATACTTCCATCCACTTTGCTCAAAGTGCTTTTCTGTGTAATATAATCTATTAGGATACCTACAGCATGAGTGCTCTTACACTGCAAAGGAGGTTCAATGGACACAATCTGCTGCAAAAACCGGGAAAAGCCACTCTGGTTTCACCATAAACACTCTGTAGTGTCTTTGATTTATGTGTATGTCCACAAGAATCTCTACATTTTCAGCTATTGAATGAAGATTACTGGAGAAAGATTAGAGGGAGCTTTTAAGGGCCTGCAGCAGCAGCAGCAGCAGCCCTGTGGCTAATGTTGAGAGAAAATAGGGGAAATTGACCATGAGATGTTATCAAAGGGAGGTTTATGCTGCGCTTGTGTCTTTTAAACCCACTTCATTCAGTCCAGTAAACCTCAGTCACATGTCTGCTCTTTCTTTTCCTTCTCCATTACCCCTCTGTCTGTAATGATGTTTCATTTAAGAACATCAAAAGCCCCCATGCAACTCATGTCACTCTGTCTGAAGCTGAGTGAATCACTAACGCACAAAGAAGGAAAACGTTTGTTCAGCTGCGTTGAGAACCTCAACGTCTGCTTTGAGATAAAACCTACACATCTAATGCTTAGACCAAACTTAAGAGCAGACACCAGCTCAGACAAGACGAGTGATATTTTCCATCCATCTCATAAGAGTGTACCCACGTACACTTCCTCCACAGTGCCTGTCCACAGTGTTATTTAGGGTCATTTAGACACATTTCCTCTCTCACAGTCACAAGTTGTTGCATTAAACTGTTATTTTCTTGAATCATCGTGTCTGGGAGCAGGATAAGTGCAGGCTGTATTTTTTGGACAGTGTTAAGAGCAAAGCTGGTAGTTTATTACAAACTCCTGCAGATAAGGTGCAACACCTTCAAATGTACTGATAAAATTGGATCTAAGTCTCAGAAGTTGGCTCTGTAAAGAAACATTTGACTGTATTTCTGATTGTATCTCTGTGTAAAATCTCTGGGATATAACCCTGGAAGAAAATAATGTTTGCGCTTCGTTTTCACATCAAATTTAAAAAACATTCCTGATCCAAAGTCAGAGATTTGGATGCTTTTAAAGAGAAAAAGAATAAGCGGCCCAGGCCACAACACAGTCACAGTCATTTTGCCTCATAATTTCAGCTATGGAAACATTTTGAAACATCTCCTCTGATGCCCAAATTTGGGAATTTAAACTGTATATGAGAGCATATGAGCAGAAGAAGAAGAAGAGGAAGGAGCCCTGGGGCCAGCAAGGAATAAAAACACAGGGTGTCATGAGTCATGATTTAGGACTATAGAGTAGAACAGTCTGCCTCTGCACTGCATCAATCTGGCACAGGTCAGTTCAGAACAGTCACATTTTTTAAATGTTTGTATTAATTTCTGAAGTGAATGATAACAATGGAAGAAACAGTTACCAATCTGTCAATGATGATCATAGATTTCTGACCAAAGCCACATTACCTGCAAGTGACAGCTCTGTCCAGTTGACTGATAACTGCCATCTCAAGCTCGTGGTGTTGTTTCTGTGAAACAGCCTCAAAATTCACATGTTCCATACATCTAAACATTTCCTCCAACAACAGCTTTTTACTGTTTGACTTTCCTGATAAATAGATGAATAGGCATAACTGTTATTTTCTCCCATGTGTTACTTCTTTGGTTCTTCTGTGGCTGCTGCACACAGAGGAGCAACAGAAGAGCAAGCCTGACCCAAGCACAATTCATGATGGTATATTGCTCGGTAAGTGACCTACAGTAGTACACTATTTTTCATGATGCATTATGGGAAACAACGAGAACACTATATAGGGTATAAAAGTTTCACTAAACATTCAGGCACCACTACAAAATGGCAAACTCACTGTATAGTGGACTATATAGTGATTAGTGAGTGATTTCAGACACAGCCAGACTAAATACATGAGGGAGGCTGCTGGGATAATTGAACACATGTGAAACACATGTGGAACAGGTGTAGACTGTCACAATAGTGGGAGAAAGGACAAAGACAGGAGGTAAAACAAGAGAGACACAAGGAAAGGAAAAAGTACAATGTACTTAATAAGGTCCCAACACAAGCAAATACAGAGTTAATAAATAAAAGTCAAAAAAGTGGAAAATGTAATGTAAAGTAAAGTAAAGTAAAATAAACTAAGTTATGTTACTGTATGTCACTGGAGAAAAGAAAGGCTATTAGTCTTATTCCAATGACTTTGAGTAACCATTTTGTTTTGAAATGGCATCTCCTTCCTGGCTAACAGCCATATAGAAATCTCTCCAACATAAATTTTCCCATGTCATACATGGCAGATAATCTCACTGCACAGAATAAACAGAAACCTTCCAGACGGATTCCTGCTGCATAGACGTTATGTAATGATGCTGCTGATGTGCTGTGGTGCCCTTTGATGTTGATTTGTTGAAGTTGTGTGTGTGTGTGTGTGTGTGTGTGTGTGTGTGTGTGTGTGTATGTGTGTGCGTGTGTGTGTGTGTGTGCAGCTGATGAGAATAATGTGTTTCTTGGTGGGCACATGACGTCGTCCCATGTGAAAGCCACTCCGCAGCCACGTGTTGATCAGCTCAGGAGAAACGCTCTCTGTGCCTGATTAAAAGCTGCTATGGATGGCTGCCTCTTCCACTGTGTGCTCACCTTGGAAGGAAAAAAGGAATTTGGTTCTTCCTGTTTGCAGCAGGACTGATCTGTCTTTTAAAAGGTTTCGATGAAGAGAGGAAATAAAACTTTTATTAAAATACTTGCGTTGATGGAGAGTATTGTTTTTCTGATCTGAAGCGCTTGCAGCTGAGGTCATCAAGTATT